ATATACAAAATGAAACCATACTAAAGAAAAAATCATGCAGTGAAAAAAAAATATGACAACCAATTTGACGTCAGTGAATCTTAAATAATGGCTGTATAGTGGTAATAGGGAGGGTGATGTTAATAGCTTAAATTGGAGCTCCAGTCAAGGTTTTTTCTTTATTGTCTTTTAAGGTACATTGATGAGAAGAGATCTTGTGAGAGACCATGGTGAAAAAGCAATCATCAAAAAAAAAAAAATCAAAAAAAAAAAAAAAAAATCCAGTGTTTTCTATCCAGTAGTCACGGCTAGGTATAGTTAGAATGAACAGTATTTAGTTTAATCACAGTGGAACATTTTTCTGTTGATAAGATACAAAAAAATGACAAGTGGGTAATATTTAAAGATTGCATACAATTGTGTAATTTTTACACAGTAAAACAAGTCAGAAATGAAACATTTGAGTCAATTCACATAAAAATAATTATCACTTTTTTTGATACTGTTAACACAAATACACTACTTGAAAGGCATATTTGCCGGTACCTGTAGTTTGTGTGTAATTTCAACTATGGGCCTTCCTTTTTTGATTGCTAATTTACCTTCGCCAAACTCATATATACTCCTAAAAACAACAACTATTTCTATTAACGCACAAAAAGCCAGTCACAAATACGGTAACCGTATCAACAATACAGTAACCAATCCGCATAAGCGGTTGTTTCTTGGTAACTTTCAATTTCCTAGACACAACGTACCGTAGAGACTTAACACCAAATACTCAACAAACAAAGTTATATACATTGTATGCCTAGGCTATGATTGTCTGCATTGTCATCTATCAAGGTGGTCGTTAAAGTAAACTAATTCTGCATTTAATTATTCTTTGTGAATAAAGGGCTGTGGAAAAGTGTACTATTGTCCGTAAGCCAACGGTACAAAACGGGGAGATGGGTAGTTAAAATCTGTAGCAATTCTATTTTTCCCTTATATATAAGTATATAAGTAAAATGAATCTTTGTATTAAATGTATTTCAGGCATTAATGTTCCATCTCTTCTCTTCTCAGGCTTGACATCATTCTTTCAGATACTGTAGTTACATTTACATTACATTTATTGTCCATAGAAAAATTAATGTTTTTTTTTTTTTTTTTTTTTTTTTTTTTTTTTTTTTTTTTAATATTAATTTTTTAATAGTAAATTTTTTCATGAGGCTCCAAGATTTGATGGGGCAGGGACGTGAAACTAGAAATTAATTTTATTTGGCCTATTGTTGCTTATACTTTTGTTTATTCTACCTCTGCATTGCCTGTAATTCAGTACCGTATATCATGTTAACTTCCAAGTACTGTAACCTCTAATTGTAAATTCTTGTGCGAGCAAATAGCTAATATTAAAATCAAATAATAATTTGTAAACCAAAACGTTAATGTGTTTTCGGCTTATCGAACCCGAAAGAATGAGGCAAATAAAACTAATGGACTAATATTGCTTTTATATAAGACTATTCCTACAGTTTGTACTCAGACTAATAAACCTAATCAATAAATGCCAAATATAAACCAAACATCTAGGCCTCATTTCCTTATAAGCAACGATGTTTCGATTTAATTTTGAGGGAGTTTCTTTTACAAGATTTTATCACCTAACATTATCCACTAAAAATAATATTTTTTTAGCGCTAACACCATATAAAAATATTATAAATGTTAAAAAAAAAAAAAAAAAATTATACTTAATAATAGTATGCTTTAAACCTATAGCACAGTTGGAACGAACATGTATGCTTGAAGTCTGCTAATCCTAGGATCCGGGCTTAAATTTCTGTGACAGCAGGATATGTTCTCACGACTGAAAACAACTTCACTCCAAAAGCGTCATTAAGAGGCTGACGCTTATAATGTCCATTTTGTAATTCGTAAGTTAATTGCAGTCGGATGGAAATAAAATAATTAAAAAAAATAATAAAATTATGGACATTGAATTATTATATTAACAAAGATCTATCCATACACTGATAACTCCGGCTTTAAATATAGGAAGAAATGTATTAATAGAGTATTATACAATGCTTTTAGGAAAATTAAGTATATATGTTAGTAATATAAATGATTTAGGTTATATTACTTGTTTAACATTTATTTAACATAGTTTTAGTATTTATTAATAAGTTTCCTAAATGAAGTGTATCAATACAAAAAGAAGAAATAGAATGAAGGAAGAATAGGAAAGATATTCTTAGAGGCTCAAATTGGTGTCGAAAATGATATAACAACGATAATCGCTCATTAAAATATTTTACTTGTTTGTAGGGAAATTTAAGCACTAATCATCAGGGGTCAAGGTTCCGCGCCTATCACTTTTCATAACATTTTTCGAAAAAGTACTTTATAACTGTATTCCGTCAGTTTTTTAAATAACTATAGACTATGTCTCTTATACACATCTAGATGTGTATAAGAGACAGCATATATACTCCTAAAAACAACAACTATTTCTATTAACGCACAAAAAACAATATAAAACAAAATATATGAAATATAATATATAAAATATAATGTAATAGATATGTATATAATCAAAATAAAATATGATACAGGAATAATTACATACAGTAATAATAATTACGCAATTGGCTTTAGCGAATGTTTGAATTGCTCAAAACAATATATAAAAAATGTATCTCAATCAGCCCATCCGGAATATTAATACCTCTCCTTGCATCTCAAAAGCTTGTATAAAAAATTCCTCAATGTACAGTCTCAGCGATTCAGTAATAATCTCAAGAGAGAGTGCGATCGTAAAACTCTGTTTCTTTCTCCTTTTTGTTTATGGCAACAGTTCACCGCGGCGGACCCTCCGCGGAGCGTTTAATGTCCTAACGTCATTGTCCGTCTAAACGTGCAAAATCAGAATCACGTAAAAAGAAGCTGTTACATCAGTGTATAGTTACTAGATTCGTTATGTTGACACTCTGGCTTTAAAAGAAGTAGGATTTCATTTCATTGCAAGGTAGGGTTTAATGACATTTCTTTCCGATTACTAATGGGATTTTATGTTTGTATTCACCATGGTTACTATCGAGTCCTGTGTTCATTTAATAAGAAAATGTTTAATCCGTACTTGCGAAATAAGGAGTATACGGAGGTTTCCTTTATATAAAACATTGCATTCATATATAATGATATGAATGAATCTCCTGCAGAAGTCAATATATTATTCCCCAGATAGGATGATCGTCCATACATGGTGAGGATAGGCCTATAAAGTGGTAAGTTACTTCCTCAATGTTTAAGAGGCCGAAATTGTGTGCGTATGCTGCTGTTCATAGGCCCAATTATTTATGCATTGAAAGCTGCGTGTTGAAGTGGTAATGCTAGGAAAACATAATTTTAGTGGAAATGTTTGCCATTTGTACTGATTCAGCATAGTAAAAAAAACACATTGATAAATCGCTACACTAGTTTTGTCATGTGAATTGATCATATATATGAACTAAAAAAATGTTTAGAAATATGAAATTGATATGAGAGTTACACTTCCATCCACAAAAAAAAAAAAAAAAAAAAAAAAAAAAAAAATTATGGAAGAGTGGAATACTTCCACCAAACATTAAAATGTTGGCAATTAACCAATCACAGATACGAAGACAAATCTGCACGTTTAATCTGTTTCCTAGCTGGTAAAAGGCCAAAATACCAAGTTTGATATTGGTCAGAGTACAATTGTTAAAAGAAAAATGCATTGCTCTTTCTTTTAAGAATAGTTTGCAACATTACCATGCAATATAAATTTTAGACTGTAATATTAACTAACTAGACCATTCAAAAACAGCATAAAACATACATTTATCAAATTTATATAGGGCCTATAATTATAAAGTAAATGACAGCAGCACTTTTGAGATTAACAATATAGAATTTTAATTCTATATTGTTAGTCTCAAAAGTGCTGCTGTCATTTACTTTATATTGTTCTATACTGTATCAGACTAACGCAGCTATACTTTTTATTCATCATGTTTAAAATTATAGGCTTTACATGGTCAATGCATGGCTTAATAGTTTAGATATAATATCTATGCTAAGTTTATAAATAAACATGTTAATTAACATTTATAATTTTATAATTAAAGAAAATACAAATATATATGTGCCAAAAGCTGTGTTTTTTTAGAAGTTGTGTATTTATTGTTTTGATTATTAAAGTAAAAGTCGTGTATTCTTAGTAGTGAATTTAAATAAACTTATTAATTTATATTGTATATATCTTACTAAGCAATAGCGTTGTTTGGTCTATAGGCCTAGCTAGAGTGATTACTGATAGTACTTACTTACATTTCACAGTGTACCATACTTCTAATTGAGGAAATACTTAGTAAATCAGGCTAAACACATTTTGTAAATCGTTTATGAACGTTAATGCAATAATACTGGTAAAGAATATGAAAAAAAAAAACTTTCCTATATTTGATTTTTAAC